TAAAATCATTCAATATTTTTTTTTTATTGATTGACAGTGCTAGTGTCCACCTATATTAACAGCCATCATTAATGTAGCTTAATGCATTGAAGCCCAAAGCTGAACCGTAAAGAAAGAGAGAGAAGGACAGCTTAAACCTCAGTTCCCAACTCCTTCCAAAATAAACACTCAGCCTGAGACAAAGAAGCCTCTTCAAACACTTGCACACGCAGGCTGAGGTGGTTATTGAGCTCTCGGACCCTCTGAAAGACTGTTCACCTTGCATTAGGATCAGAGTCAAGCCTCGCTGTGTTGAAGAGCTGCTATCTACTTGCCTGTGTGTTCAGAAAGTCTTGTGCTGAGAGACCTGAAAATGTCTCTAATATGTAGCTGCTGCTGTATTTCCAGTGTAAGAGGAAATGTCCACTGCTCAAAGGAAAAAATATAAGCTGTATGTCCTCAAAGACTGAAGGGTAAAGGTACTTAGACTGGAAAGACGGAGTTAAGTAATTGGAGACTAATAGAACTTGATTTGCCAATCAAAAATGACAGGACAGTAAAATGCTTGAGTTATTGACTGGAGGTGATGACACATTTTCACACACTTTCTGTTTAATTATCTGGCTATGTTCAGAAGAGCATACTAATATACTACTCTTATTATTTCTGCAGTATAATGTATGCATACTGTGAATAGTATGCAGATTTTCTGCATGCACAGAAAGCCAGAATAAGCTTTAAAAAAAAAATGGATAGTTCAGTCTGAATTCTGGTTGAATGAGGTGCATTTGATTATCTATTTATTTTTATTTGTTTACTTCTTATTTTTTGCTATTTTATAATTGATGATGTTCAGGAATAAATTATATTCTAAAATATATTAAAATAGAAAATCCTTATTTTAAATTGCAACAATATTTCACAATATTACTCTTTTTACTGTATTTCTGATTTTAAAAAAATGCAGCCTTGCTGAGCATAAGAAACTTTTTTTCAATATTTCAATGCTGCTTTATGCCTTACTTTATGTAAAAAAAAAAAGAAATAGAAAAAAACAGTAAGTATGCAGTATACAGTAGTTTGCTAGTATGCCACTCTCTCTCCCTCTCTTTATTTATCTGTCACTTTCTGTTCCAGTAATTTGAAGCAGGAATCAATCTTAAATAGACTTGTGCTGCTCTTATCTCTGATTGATTCTGCTGGTTAGCGATAATTTAAATCTCACCTACTCACAAGCAAATTAAACCCTGCACCAGTGTAAACGGGGTCCCTGTGTGCGTATGACGACACATAAGAGAGACCATGGACGTATGTCAGGGTGTGTTTGTATGTAAGCTGGGTGGTAAGCTTAAAACATGTCGACATTTTATAGCGGATTTGAGCACGTTTCATCCCATTAGAATTTAAAATCAGAACTATTTGTTTTATGAACAGCCAATGAATGCCTGACATAACACTAAATATTATGTGTGCCTCTCTTTCTTGCACTCTAAAGTTTCCAGTTTAAAAGCTATTACCCTATTTGTACAAGAATGGTTTCAAAATGTGTCAAACAGTAAATTATGCTCAAGAAAGCAAAAATAAATAAATAAATAAAAGCTTCATAAGCATTTTATCACTCAAACACGGACCTTGACAAGCGTTCCCTACAGACCTTTGATATTCACAAGCCATAACATTTATACAGCTTTCCACTGGATAAACAGCCCAAGTCAAAATTTCAGCCTCATAACTCAGCTTTTATACTTGTCCACAAATCAACCACTTCAAAACTGTTTAAAATGCTGCTAATTTTTGTTGTACAACAGATTACGAGACTGCCACAATTTGTTGAAATTTTAAAATTATGTTTTTACCAACCATTTTAATAAGAAGTCAATTGTTATTATTATTATTATTATTATTAACAACAAAAAAAATATAATAAATTATTTATAAAATAAAATAATAATAATAATAAAATAACAATGAAAAATGCTTCATATAGCTTTCATTGGATTCATTCTACAGTAATAATGAGTTTTTCTTCATTATATCAGTACATTTGTATCATTGTGATATTTTTTACTTTACGTCCCCCAAAAATATCAAAATTTATTTTAATACAAAAATAAATTATGCTCATCATAAGAAGGTCTAAGGTCTATTCAAATGGTTGTATGTTTGACCTGAATTTTCATGTATTTTTTGACACAATCATCATGTAACTGACCCACAAATCATTGGAACTGTATATGTCGTGAGTTTATTTAAAAAATAAAATAATAACAGTAATTGAAATAATTATAAAAGATCACGCCAAACTACTTCATATAGTTTTCATTCTTAGAATTAATTCAAATAATAAGGATTTTTTTTCTTTATTATAATATCAGGACAGCTGTACCACCGTGACATTTTTGACTTTATAACTTTCCTCCCAAAATATTTTAAAATAATTTGTATACAAAACAAACCAAAAATAAGTAAATAAATAAATAAATCATGCTCATCATTCAAGTGACTGTACAGTGTGTGTGAACTGAATGTTAATGTATTTTTGAACAAATGAACAGATCCGAGCATCATGTAATTGACCCACAAATCATTGCTGTTTCTGCACTAGTGAAGCAAAAATGGCACATTTATCGCCAGCAAATACATAGAGAAAATTTCCTAGCCCTAGGAAAAACTAGTGATGAGGGATCAAGGTGAGGAAGTCAGTCAATCCGACTGACCCGGACCTGTTATTCACATACGACGAATAGGGAAGTGCTGACTCTGAAATGCCCATCTCTGCCAGCAAAACGTGTGGATGGCAGTGTCAAAAACTGCTTACAGATCGGAAAGAAATAGCATGGAGTTATGCGAGCATGTTGCTGCTGACTCGAGCACTTTACAGCCAGGAGAGCAGATTCAGAAGAGTGACTAGACTGATAGGAGGTGAGCAGGTGAGAAAGCTTGACATCTGACTGATTCCAGCTCATTCTGAAGCTACTGCCATGAAGGCGAGCAGTGAGAGCTGTCAGGGGTTCCTGATGTCAGAAGAGTCTACGCTGGAGAAAATGTCATGTTCATGGAAACCACAAAGATGTTTCTACAAAAAGCTTCTCTCAGAAAGGAACAGTACTCACAGGCATACTTGTCCATCTGAATAATTAATATGTGTCAGGGAAATCAGGTGAGGGAAAAATATTCTCTTTTAAAACCTCACTGTGTTTGCGCATGGGTATGTCTCACCTCGTCTTTGTCTTCGACCTGTATGTACAGAGGCAGAGCGAAGCCGACCTGCGCCAGCTCTGTGATCAGGACGCGATATTCAGAGCTGTTAAACCTGGGCGGATTGTCATTTTTATCGATCAGCAGGATGGTGAAGGTGGTCATGACGGTGGCAGACGAGGGTGTGCGGTCGTCATTCAGCTCTGTGGCCTGCAGAGAGACAGAAAGACATACAGCGGATTAATCTGATGCCTGCGATCTCAATATATACAGCAGGGTCCAAATGAGAAAGAGTGTTCCATGAGATTTGGAAGGTGAATCTGGAAAAGCAAGAGAATATTTTAGGATTTTAAACAATTTCAAAACAAAGAAAAGTTACAATGTACAATGGGCAAGAACTATTGAAGCTTTTCAGAGAATTTGTGACGTTGATCATGGGACTCCTTAATACAAAAGTTCCAGATTTCCGTTTAAAGGGGTCATATGATGCTGCTAAAAAGAACATTATTTTGTGTTTAAACGAGGCGTTTTAGGAGGGCGTGGATGAGTCTTAACTTTTATAAAGAATATCCAACCTGGTCTCATGGCAAAAACATACCCGGGGACGGACAGCTTGTAACACTCCAAAGAGAAAGGAAAACTTGAAATTGCATCATATGACCCCTTTAAGATCTCTAGAAACTGTATGTGTAGAATTTATATATAACACAAAATAGAAAATAGAAGTACATTTTTCCCAAAATGTAACTTGTCCAACACTACTACTACTATGTAATAAAATATAATTACATCATTTGTTGTGACTATGCTTATTTATTCTCTTATTAAGTGAAATACATTTCTTAGCTGATTATACACATTTCTCTAAACGTAGTTTAAATCAGGTCAAGGCATTTAACACAGCCATAAAAACAATTTAGCTTCAATAATCATCCAACTTAATTATAAAGTCAAATAATGTACCTATTCTCAGGTCATGTAAAACTTGAATGACTGAAACAAACATTGACAGCAATATTACTTTCAAAATATAAACATATAAATAAAATATATTTAAAAAAAACTGCAAGTCAAGCATATCTGTTCTAGATGAGAAAGAGCTGATTGTTAAAAAGAATAACACAAAAAAGAACAATGTAACGTAATTAGCAATTCCTGACTAGGTCATATCATCAAATTAAGTCAAATATTTAATAAATGAGCATGCAGGGAGCAGATGCGATATTCTGCAGAAATCAGTTGAATGTTCTACCATTAATTAGTTATTTTATTGACTAATCATTTTATTGACAACTGAGTAAAATAATAAAAAGAATTTGGTTTAGAAACAATTTTTTGACTAAGAAATCGCTAGTAAATTTCAAAAACAATTACCAAAAACAGCAACACACTGAATTAAAAATGAAATTTTGAAGTCGAAAATCTGAAAAATAATTTTCTTGTAAAACATACTTTATATTTGTTTTGCTTCGAAAAAGTATTTTTTTATAGTGTACTTGCAAAAAAAAAAAAGGAAAACAAATGCTCCCCAAAACTGTAGCAGACACACAACACCACCATCCATCTCTCTAATGTGAGAAAAAAACATTATAAGGAGCTGTAGAAAAGGAAAGGAGAAGCAAAAGAAAGAAAAAATATATACAAGTGACAGAGAGAGACAGTGCGAGATACGAAACGAGAGAGGAACGGATGTGATAATAGAGGGAATATGGCAGTAAGCAGCATTAACGTTTAGTCTTCAATCTCCTCCATTTGTTCAACTCTGCCTCTTTATTAAATCAGAGGGGAGGATTCTGGGAGAAATCCCACAGGTCTGCCGTAAGTGGGGGCACACGGGGGCCAGCGCGGGAGAACAGACACAGCCAATAAGATTTAGGATGAACAAGTCTTATCGACAGGAAACAATTGCTCGCAATCACTTTCTTTCTTCCCTCCCTCTCCTTCTCGTTTTGAGCGATGGAGTCGCAGAGAAATCAAAAGGAATAATGGTGTTTTGTGACGGAGGGATGCAGGGTGAATGGAGGTTGGAGGTGCGGCGATGCTGCGGGTCCAGGTTAATCATGAATTGTGTCGTTTAACACCCCCTTGCACATCTCTTCTCTATCCCTCCATATTATAAATGCACTGACCTCCAGCCCAATGCACACTAGCCTATCCAAGCTCTGTGAAGCTGAGAAATTTGTTTTATTACTTTTCACTCGAAATCAATAATGCCACCAATAAGAGAGAGGGTGACAGAGAGAGAGAGAGAGAGAGTAAGAAGATAAAATGGTAAAAGGAAAAAAAAATATATATATATAGGAGCAGAGGCTCAGGAGAGAGAAATAGATAATGAAAATCTATAACTTATGAATATTTTGGGAGGTGTTTCTTGCGTTTGCTTTGTTTTGTGTTTCACTTTTCATGGCAAACATTGATTTCAATTTAGAGGACTACAGCTGCAGTTTATGACTGCAAATACAGCTGAAGAATCCAAAACACATTTATGAAACTGTCTGGATGGGAATATATATAATATTACGGGCAGAGAAAGAGGCAACAATAATCAGTGAACATTTAAACATACCGGTGACCAAAACTTCCTTATTAAACAGAACAGTTTGGCCCTAATATCTGACTGGATGAATCACTCTGAAGTCCTTGTAAAATTGTTGATTTTGATTTAGAAGTTTTCACTGCACAAAATATCAAAATAACATACAAGTACATTTAAAATAGCTTTTACATTTTTCAGATTCTGTTACATAATTGTGACCCTGGACCACAAAACCAGTCATCCAGAAATTGAGATTTATACACCATCTCAAAGCTTTCCATTGATGTATGGTTTGTTAGGATAGGGCAATATTTGGCCGAGATACGATTATTTGAAAATCTGGAATCTGAGGGTGCAAAAAAATCAAAATGTTGAGAAAATCGCCTTTAAAGTTGTCCAAATGAAGTTCTTGTAATGATATTTACAGTAGGAAATTTACTAAATATCTTCATGGAACATGATCTTTACTTAATATCCTAATTATTTTTGGCATAAAAGAAAAATCAATAATTTTGACCCATACAATGTATTTTTGGCTATTGCTACAAATATACCCCAGCGACTTAAGACTGGTTTTGTGGTCCAGGGTCACAACTGGTAGTGTTATTTTGTCATATATTTGTCACTGCTGTTGTGCTTTGGTGGTAAAAAATAAAGCATAAGCAACTTTAGGGTTTGTGTCTACCAAATCTACCGACACCAGCAGCAGTCCAATGTGTTCATATCAGAGCAGAGGCGATAATGATGACAAGTGTGTTTCAGATCCCAACCCAGAGAGATAATGACAGAAATCTACAGAGGTCCAAATAGCCACCAATCTTTTGGAAACAGAATTCCACACACAGCAGTTTGAATAAAGTGCTAATCTAAAACAGCTCTTTACTGGGGTGTCTGAAGTCCCAGACATGTCATCTGTTGGTAAACAGTATTTTCAGATGCACACCTGTTACTGCACATCAATGCAATTTAAACAGCGGCAAGAAAAAGTATGTGAAATCTTTGCAATTGGTTTGGTTTCTGCATTAATTGGTCATAAACTGTCATCTGATCTTCATCAACGTAGTAAGTATTAACAAACGCAATGTGCTTAAGCTAACAACACACAAGCATTTTATGTCCAACTAATGTAGAAAACCAACCAATTCTAATGGGTTCACATACTTCTTCTTGCCACTACTGTATACATACACTAGTGTTCAACAATTTGGGGTCGATAAGATTATTTTTCTTTTTCATTTTGAAAGTCGTCGCATATGCTCATCAGGCCTGCATTTATTTGATAAAAAAAATACAGTAAAATCAGTAATCTGTGTTTCAATTTGAATATATTTTCAAATGTAATTTATTCCTATAATAGCAAAAGTGAATTTTCAGCATTACTCCAGTCTTCAGTGTCACATGATTCTTCAGAAATCATTCTAATATGCTGATGTGCAAGAAACATTATTATCAATGTTGAAAACCGTTGTGCTGCTTCATATTTATTTGTGGAAACTGATAACCCGAACCCAAACATTTAAATGGTTATTTATGTACCATATTAATAACAGTCATTTCAGATTGTCAAGCCCATGTTATTTAAATTTTTTTAGCATGATAACTGTGTGATCATGAGAGTATCATACTTGTGGTGTTTTATTGGAATTATTTTAAAAGTTGCTGTAAACTAAAGTCTGTCTGTTCTTCTTTCTATTTCTCCTCTTTTGTTCTTTTTCTTCCTCTCCTTCTTTCTCATCCCCATGCCCATATAGCCCGAAAAGGTGGCAAAGGTGTGTGTGTGTGTGTGTGTGTGTGTGTGAGACAGAGAGAGAGAGAGAGAGAGAGAGAGAGAGAGAGAGACTATTTCAGGAGCCTAAAGGCCTCTGCTAAACTGAGCTCTCAGAGATGGAGAAACAGGAACAAAGAGTTTCCCTAGCTGAGGTCTAGAGGGACATTAAAACACACACACACAACTCCAGTGTTTGGCCCTGGAACTGTCAGCGGGGGACAGAGATAACGATGACATCACACACACACACACACATACCGTGGCTACAACAGTAGCAGATTAATATATTTGTGTCATATATTAGTATTAGTATTTTCTTGTGAAACATACTCTTAATAATGCTTTATTTATTTATTTATATAACTTATTGAACATAATAACATGATGTAAATATATAATAATAATAATAATAATAATAATAATAATAATAATAATAATAATCGAGTCCAGTTCAGTGCAATTTGAAGTGATTTGCATGTTTGTAATAGCTATGCAAAAGAATTAAAAATGTATTGAAAGCTCCAGGGTCAGTGAGACCTTTTCACATAGTGATCCTGATATGCTCAATGTGGGTAAATGGCTCGATAAATTACAGTCACACTCTGCAAACATTTACTGTAGAATCAATACTGCATTTGGCAGAGATCCCAATGAGTTCAGCTCAGGGGACGAGAGACTAACCAGAGCTACTACATGAGAATTTCTGGAAACAGAACAAATGTGCTTATATGCAATTTCATTCCTGATTTAAAATCAATCTTGACCTTGAAACATTACAGAAGAGATTTAAATAATGCATTAGTGGATTTGAATCTCACACAGGGTTGAAAGACGTATGATAAAAGGTTTTAAGAGCTTAAGGAACTTCACTATTCTGATTCCAATTCCACAAAACGATTCCAGTTTCTCAACAAATCTATGAACAGCTCTTTTGGTACTATTGAGGAAGCACTCAAAAGAATCTGTCCAAATGATACATCAAAGAAAAACTACTGTATTCTTAGTGGTTTTTTTTATTTTTACTTCAGCACCGTTAATTAGAACAAAACCCCTTTTCCAAATAACCTTCTGTTAAAGAACAGCTAATGGAACTATGCATCATAAAATATAAGAGTGGTTCTCAAAAATTAACTTCCAACCCTAGAACTTGAAATTGAACAAATCCTTTTGAGAAATAATTTCACAGCTCAAAAACACTTTTTAATGAATCGTCTTGAAAACCTCCACATCTAGGTTTGAGTCTCACCTTTACTGTGATGGTGAATCCGGATGAGTACAAAGGGTTTTCCCGGTCCAGCTGTCCACTCACTTTCAGGGATCCGCTGATGTAGTCAAGAGCAAACACGCTGTTGGTGTTACCTGATGAACAGAATAATAAAAGGAATTTTGTGGCAAAAGGGTCGAAATATGTTTCTGTTTGCACTGAATACTAACATATTAAACGGAAGAGTCTGTACCATTCATTACACTTGACTTTTTAGCATTTAGATATTTTAATAATTGGAGGGTCATGATTGTAAAGTGGTTAAATATCTGAGCCCAAACTCAAAGGTTGTAGGTCAAAATCCTCAGAGGCATCAGTGAAGTGGAGAGTCACTGAGTTCCCTAATCACCATTCTGCCCTAGAGCAGGGCACTTAACCTCCGCTCCAGGGGGAACGTCCCTATCATCAGCTAAGGATTTATAAGAATTAATCTGATCATTTCTATCCTAGAAAATTAGGGCTGGATGGCATGACAGCTTATGCCAAAATTTTTAAAAATTTGCACACCAATAAGAGGATTCTAGAATTCAGGATTCTAATAACATTATTATAGATCTATCTAATGGTCTGTAAGGCATGTAAACCTTCAAACGTCAAGACTTTGCTTTTCTAGACAATTTTTTTAAACATTAATTAATTTCAATGCAATTCTACTTGATTGCATTCCAATTTTGTAGTGCAATCATGCACCCTTTTGCTCATGATCTAAATTGTAATTTAAAGGCATTCTTAATTTAATTCTGAAAACACACACAATCCTCATTATTTAATGTAAGTCAGGCAGGCATACGGCACCATAATGAAGTCTGAGAGAGAAGATTGAGTTATGACATTATAATTGAACATTATGAGGTCAAACAATTAATATATATGAAAAAATAATATTATAAAAAATATATTAAGAATTGTTCAGAATAAGATCCATAACATGCATTTACAAAACAGAAAGAGTCCGTTTTCATTTCATGCCGACTTTAATTGGCGCGACGCAAGTGTTTTTTGCTAGTTTCAGCCCAACGCAGTTGTCATTTTCACGTCCTGCGCCGCGTTGTTTAAATAGCAAATGCATTTGCGCCCATTTGTGCGCCCATGGGCATGCTGGTCTGAAAACGAGGTGTGTTCAAGCACATTGCTGGCATGTTGCTATTTTGAGGAACTGAAAATAGACTGCGCCATTGACCAACAAAAACCTGGTCTAAAGTCAATGGCGCAGTAGTTTTTTTTGTTATTTAAAGAGCGCGTTAGTATAGGCGGGTCCACACCGCGCGTACACTCTTGCTTATTACACACACAGGGACGCACAGCAGCACACAAACATGCCAAATTAAAAAAATTAAAGGATTGCAATGTAAAAGATTACTATTGTTTAGGCTACATAAATATAAAAATGCCTACATGTCACAATGGATAGTCATTGCATGTATCAGAATTAGGCTACCTATTTGCTCGTGCACGAGTCTTTGCGCTTGCAAATGTGTAAATAGCAAATCCGCCATGGCACGAGCGCAACTGGCTCTTAAAGGAATGGGAGATGAGACTCTGATAATGTAAAAGATTATTATTGTGTAGGCTACATAAATATAAAAATGCCTACATGTCATAATGGATAGTCATTGCATGTATCAGAATTAGGCTACCTATTTGCTCGCGCACGAGCAGCTTCGTTTCATCTATGCGCTAGCAAATTCCGCCGTGTAAATAGCAAATCCGCCATGGCGCGAGCGCAACTGGCTCTTAAAGGGAATGGGAGATGAGATTCTGATTGGTTTATTGCACGTTATGCCCAAAACACACCCATTACTCATTAAGAGAACCATGCGCCGGGCACGCCAACCGTTTTTCCCGTCGTTAAACTAGCAAAAGTGGATTTGGACACGCCCTAAGTGCACCTGCGCCGTGCGCTTTAGACTTTGCACTTAGATCCTTAAAATAGGGCCCTGTGTGTGTTTTACATCAAAATGTGCCCACAACTACTGTATTTTGGAAGAAATTTTTTCTACAAGCTCCAACATGATGAATTTAACTTCTGAAACATCATGGTCATCAAGACTCTTCTAATTATACTAGGTGTGTTACTAAATCATACTTCAACGCTTAGGTCAACAAAATGCTAGACATAGATAAAGAGTAAGAAACAGAAACAAAATCCTTCCTCTTCTGTACTGTCTGACAGAGAGCAGACGTGTGGTTTGGGACTGGACCTCTCCCTGGTCTGGGATAGAGGAAAGTAATATCTTCAGACCAAGGGAACCTGTCAATTAATCCGTTACTCCTGAGATATCATGCTGGTTTTGGGTAATTAGTTCAGTGCTTGGCAGCAGCGGCCCAAACTTTTGGGCTACAACAGAACACTAGACCGGCTCGCCATCTAATCCACTATTCTTTTCTAATTCATCTTCCACTCAAAACATTTTATACTCCCTCGGTAAACTGTTCATCTCATTAACACCTCACTTTCCTTAATTACATGATATCTCAGTAATTATTTTCATTATATTTTCATGTCTCTCTCTCCATCTCTCACAGCTGCAGTGTATATTCTCTGCAAACTAATTAAGCCCATCAGATGCAGATGGCACACAGAGTGACACACAATCTGTCTTCTCCACCAGCAGTCTTCTTTTGTTCTAAATGATAGATCTAACCTCTGTACAGCTCTCATCACGTACAATCATGTACTACTAAAGATCATCAGCCCCCCCCCAATCGCTCCGTTCGCTACCTACTCACTCCTACATTCCTCCACATCCCCCTTCCCATGTAAAACCATCCAACTTAGTTCCTCCACCTCCATCTTGCTCCCTGCCTCCACCTCCCCTTTAAGAAAAATCATACAACTGTAATTATTAATGAAAACAAAGCTGGTCAAGACAATCGTTGAATGCTGAATTGACAAAGTCTTATTTGAAAGCTAAAAAGAATGTTGCTTTAAAATACAACTTTATATTTATTTATAGGCATTACAGACCATAAGATAGATAGATAGATAGATAGATAGATAGATAGACAGACACAGACATACAGACAGATACATAGATCGATTCAAATTCAATAGATGGGCAGACTGAAAGACAGACTGAAAGACAGAATTCTAAATATTGCATAGTCCTGTCCTCCTAATCTCTTGCATTCCACCAGACCCCCCATAGCTCTATTCCACCCCATCATTAAGTTTCTTCACCTCCTTCTTCCCAGGTACTCAAACTTTTATTCTTCCTCGTTCTTCTCATCTCAGGTGTTCACTATTGTTATGCTAAATTGGACATAGCCACAGCACTGCAGTATTGACACTGGATTGAGACAGAGCTTGTTGAGCATGCATGAGCGACTCAGAGCTGCCCTGCAGAGATAGCTGTGATTTATACATTCAAATAGCAATCTGAACCATCGGCGTAATGGAAATCAAACAATGGGAGTACCCAGCTTGATTGAGAGCGCTTGAACCGAGTGTATGCATGCGCCTCTGCTAGCGTGAATATATTGGCTCCTCTGGGCATCGACGGCCAATTAGAACACACACTTTAATTCACTTTCCCAACTGACCAGTGTGAAATCAAACGTGCAGCTGAGAGCCACGCTGACCTGATGGATTCATTCAAATTAGAATGTTTGGCTGTTCACTGCAGTAAGACCACTGAAGAGCATGCTGATTTGGAATGATAATCATCCTTATCTGGTAATGCAAATATATTTCTTAAGGTGTGGTGCAGACGCAGACTCATTTCTGAGGGGGTTGTGAGGACACACTAATTATAAACTTGGCATGAAGAGAGATTTTATGGATTTTAAATATATTTTCATCATATATCGATGAACTGTCTAAAAGTCGCATGAAATTTAAATTAAATTTTTTTTATTTCTGTCATTATTTATCATAAAATCGCTCCAAATCAGGGTTTTTATCGTTAACAAACCAAAACTAAAACCATAAAAAATTTCATTACTAAAATACATTTCATTTCATTATTAAAATAAATATTAACTTAAAATATTAATTCAAATTAAAATAGAATATAAAATTAAAATTAATTGAAAATATTAACAAAAACTATACTATTATGTCAATGATACTAATATAAGACTGTTACAAACACTTTTCATTACAAGTTTTGAGAAAATTTAAATTAATAAATAAATACTTTTTTTTGAGAGTGACATGAACCAATCGCTTTTCATGGAAAAAAACTGAATTGACATAAGGGTGAGAAAATAATGACAGAATTTTCCTCATTGAATAAACTACTCCTTCAACTAGAGGCAACAAAGCACAGGTTAATAATTTAGTAACTGTACACGGAGTCAGCAGACGAGAGCTGAGATTTAGAGGCAGTAACATTAGCGTGAGATAAGCAGACTCTTCAGAAGACCAGAATGATGCCGCGTTCTGCCTGACAGAACAAAAACTCTCCCCCGCAGAGATTGACATCTCATCAACACACAAATTGACAGCAGAGAGAATTCACTGTTGGAGAAATCAAGCTCAGCTGAAGCTGATGGAGAGAATAAAGAGGCGCGTGTGAGTGAGTGGAGCTGTGCAGGAGAGCAGATAGCTCACTCACTCTAATCCTGCTGAGAGCCAGCAGCCAAGGGAGCTTAAGACAAGCACACCAACACACCACAGCAAAGAGAGTAAGCTGCCGGGAAATTACAGTGCTGGGGAAACCCTTTCCTTATGCCCTTTAATGGAATTTAATTATTGTCTAATAGATGAGCTAAAAGGATTTGTTAACAATTTTCCCCTCAGCTTAACAAGAGCAATATATTATTATTATTATTATTATAAATAACAATAATAATAATAATAGTAATAATACTTTTAAAACAATAATATTATACACTACTGTTTAAAAGTGTGGTTTGGGGATTTTTTTAATTAATAGTTTTATTCAGCAATAATGCATTAAATTGATCAAAAAGTACAGTAAATACATTTATAATGTTACAAAAGATTTCCATTTTAAATAAACGTTGTTCTTTTAAACTTTCTATTCATCATAGAATCCTGAAAAAAGCATCATTATTTCCACAAAAATAGTAAGCAGCACTACTGTTTTCAACATTTATAATATTAAGAAATGTTTCTTGAGCACCTAAA